CTTTTGAATAAAATGAAGTTGCTGTCACTTGGTGTTGAAACCAAGTGCCACTGAGGATTTTACTTCCCCTAGGGGATTTGTGAATCTGTGAGTTTCTTTTTTATAGGATCACTAATTCCCCTCGCGTTTGTGTGATGTTCAGGTTTTCCCTTTTGTGCTACTAACAGTTAGTAAATTGTAATATATTAGGTACCCCTACCCGTACGGGCCAGTCTTGACAGACTCTAGGGTTGTGCGCCCATCTCACTCAAGAGGCCGGGGGCCAGCGCTGTCCGGAGACACTTCCGGGTCACGTGGCCAGCGTGACATCGCTGCTCTGGCGAGCCAGAGCCGCACACGGAAACGCCGTTTACCTTCCCGCTAGAAAGCGGTCCCTATTTATCTACTTGCACCCGGGAGTGCTTTCGAACTGCTAGGTTGGCAGGCGCTGGGACCGAACAACGGGAGCGCACCCCGCCACGGGGATTCGAACCGCGACCTTTCGATCGGCAAGCCCTAGGCGCTGAGGCTTTTACCCACAGCGCCACCTGCGTCCCAATTATATTATATATAATTGTAATATATAATAAACATTATAAACACGGATCTCAGACTTCCAGTCAGAGGAACACATTTTTGCAAATGATGTGTTCCGACACCACCACCTCCCAATTTCCCCCCGCTTTTCCCTGTGACCACTCATCATCGTCCCACCACCAATCTCCAGGCTCTGAGCCTTCTTCTCTTGGTGGTTCCTCTGTTGGCTCCCACCATTCCTTTGCATCCAACCAGTCCATGACACTTAGTAGCCGTGCTTCCTTTCTAAATCCAAGAGTACTCTGTTCTGACCAAAATGAGTCTGTGGGTGGTGGGTCTGTGAGTTGCTTTCTCTACTCATAACTAAAGCAACTTTACAAGACATAAAACTGTTGTCATAACCATCTCCTTACTATTGATCTCTGCCCAGGGGCAATGCATTGCTTTGAACTAAGTTGCCAAAAGATAGTAAATTAATCTTCCATCAGCAAAAACTGCAAAGTGGCTTCCTTGAGTGTCTTTCAGGAGGAAGAAAAAACTTGAGTCTGTTGATGTGTTGCATTTGGAACTGCTCTCTCTGCTATCTAATCCTTTTAACCAAGAGGCTTCAAAGAAAGCCTTATTAAAGGAAATAATCCGTTCATGCAGGCCTAATTAGTTTGTGTGGGGCCAAGGGGGAAAAATGCTTTTGTGTTATCAGTTGCTCTTGAATGGCAAAGATCATTTTTAAAACTAAAGATCAATTGAAGGCTTAGCTAAACATCCGCAGCCATGTGGGTGGGGACTCTTGGAAAGCATGCCGCTTCTTAATTTGATTCTGATCATTGCTGCTAGAGGATCTGCAGATGAAAGTACCAGCAGCTTCCTCTGTGTCAGCCTTGGGAGGCCAGAAGTTCTGCAGCAAATGAAACATGGCACAGACATTCCCCATAAGACCACCTTGCTGTCCAGAAGCCTGCTTTAAAGAAGGGCTCAAGGCTAACTAGATGGATCCTCTTTCTCTTCCATTGTCCTAGAGCACCATTTCTCAGCCTGCTGGGCTAGGGATTACTAGTGGGCCTCAGTGCAGTCGCCTGGCCCCTAGCCAATGGCAACCGCTCCCTTCACACATGGTATACATGCATGCATGGGAGCAGGAGATAGAGAGTGAGGCTGTATCATACCAGGTTAGAAGAGAAAGGAGGAGAGGACAGGGTAATAGAAGAGAGGGGATGGGGAGGGAGGGAGGGAAGGGTGCGTGGGTGCGTGGGCAGACCGAGAGAGAGGGAAAGGAGAAGCCAGGAAGCCGCTCCTCCATTCTGTAAAGGAAAGAACTGGTTGTGGCATTGAAGTGAATTAGAGAGAGGTCAATCTTTTAATAATAATAATAGCAATAACTATAGTATAATATAAAAACTGGGAATCAAGAGGAATAGAATAATAAGAGGGAAACTATTAGAGGAGGAGGAAGTGAATGTAAGAGCAGGAAGAGAGATAAAGGACCTATCAGTTTGCGGTTGAAATAGGGTACAAGTGTGAAAGGAGAAATGACCCGAAATGAAGTAAAAATATTTTAAGGTCCTCTTCTCCCCTAGAGCCTCTGAAACAGCAATTTCTGCCTAAAATTGAGAGTCTGAGTCACAATATGACCAAATTCAATGTTTTCCTTAGCTTTTAAGAAGGCTGAACTATGGAACCTGCTGTGCCAAATAATTTAACTGTTTCCAAAGAGGGGAAATGATTGTGGTAATAGCCGACTGATAACGTCAGACTCTGCCTCCACCTGTTGCCGTTTTGTGACTGACTTCCGCCCTGCACCCCATTTTGTAACTAGTCATGTTGATAGTTTTTAGCCCTCTGAGGTGGGTCCTGGGAGTGGAAAGTTCTGTTGTAGATCTTGGCTATCCTGCACTGCATTCCCAGCAGTGCACAAAAGTGGCTTAACTTCCAGATGTGTCACTGTGGCCAAATCAAACACCTCAAGGTGTTGCACTAAATTGCACTAAAGTGCAAATGCACTCCTGGCCACTGAAGAAACCTGGGCACCCATGCTCAGGACTGAGTCTAGATGTACGTCTAAACTGCGAACCTGGGTTTTCAGGAGGACTTTGACTCCATCCAGCACAGGCTGATTCCTTATTCCCTGTTCTCCCTTCCGACTGACCAAGATCGCCTCTGTCTTGTCTGGATTAAGTTTCAATTTGTTCACTCTTATCCAGTCCATTACTGATGATAGACGCTGACTTAGAACGAAGACAGCTTCCTTTGATTTAGGTGTCATCAGCATACTGGTGACACCAAGCCCTGAAACTCTGGACAACCTCTCATGTAAATGTTAAATAGCATGGGGGGCAGAACAGAACAGAACCCTGAGGGAACCTGTAGGCCAATGGCCAAGGCATCAAGCAGGAGTCCCCCAGCGCCACCTTTGGGTTTGCTCCTCCAGGATGGAACAGCCACTGTGCAACAGTGCCTCCAAGTCCCATCCCAGCAAGACAGTCCAGAAGGATAACATGGCCAGTAGTATTGAAAACCATCAAGAGGTCCAGCAGAGCCAACAGGACACACTCCCCTTGCCCTGTTCCTGGCATAGGTCATCTACCAAGGCAACCAAAGCCATCTGTGACCTATAACCAGGCCTGAAACCAGATTGAAATGGATCTAGGTAATTGGTCTCCTCCAGAAACCCCTGAGCTGAGATGCGACCTCACACTCTAGTACCTTGTTCCAAAATGGGAAATTGGAGACTGGCCAATAATTTTCCAGTACAGTGGAATTCAGGGAGGGCTTTTTCAACAGAGGTCTTATAACTGCCTCCTTTAGGCTCACTGGAATCCTGCCTTGTTGTAAGGATGCATTGACCAGAGGGGCACCCCCTTGCCAGCCCTTGTGCAAGGATCTAGCACACGTGTAGCTCTCACATTTCCAAGGATCCTGTCCAAATTCTCAGGCTGTACAAATGGAAAAGTATCAATTTATGCTGGACAAGCAGAGGCCAAAGTTACATCCACTGGACCTGTATCAGCTATAGCATCCAAATCAGAAAGGATCCAAGCAATTTTGTCAGCGAAGTACTGAGCAAATAGTTCACAATAGATCATCAAGTGGGTGCAAGTTACCTGTTTTATGGAATGGTGGCTTGTTAGGGTTGATGTAGCCATTTGGAAAGCCAGCTTGCCTGTATTGTCTTCCTAAGTGGGGAGAAGGCTGTTTGTGCTTCCCCAGATTTTGATCTTCTCATCTCCCTAACAGGACAGGCTGGTTGCACACAGACTGCAGCAAGTTACCACTTGAAGACTCAGGGATTGCACTCATCCAGGGACTTTCCTATTTGTGTGGTTTCTGGAAGCAGTAAAGCATTCCATCCCCATATTACTTCATAAACGTCTTGCTATACAAGAAAAAGAACTATGAACTTCCAGTCACAGGCCACTGGAAGAAGGGAATTTTACCAAGACAGCAAGGACCTTGTGTAACAGCAGGTGTGGTGAAGTGGACTGAGACAAGTTGCTTCCCTGTAATTAAAATGCTGCTATTATTATTATTATTATTATTATTATTATTATTATTATTATATTTACGTTTATGTACTAGCTCCCTGGGAGTTTGAGGTTAGCATACATAGCATAGTCCCTCTTTTATCCTCACAACAACCCTTTGAGGTAGGTTGGGCTGAGAAAATGTGCCTGTCATCCCACAGTTAACCAGTTATTTTCAATGCTAAGTGGAGATTCAGACCTAGGTCTTTGCAGTTTAACAACACTAATCTTGTACACCACAACCACTCCAGCAAAGCTAGGATACCCCGTAATTTATAAGTATTATATATGGATGATTTGAGGAGGAAAACAAAATAGCTAGCACTATTTAACCTTGCCCTGTAGTCCTTTGTCTCATATTCAGCATCACTCAACAGAGCAAGTAGTGAATTTTCTAGCCAGTGGGACAAAAGGATCGACATCTGTCTGCATATGATACAAGGGGGAGGGTTTTGAATTAGGGAGGAATGGGAGGATCACTTGTACAACCCACGCACAGCACTGCTGGCTTGTGCATGCCAGGTCTCTGATCTGTCATCTTTGCTATGTTCTTTTGGATTTCTGAGTCATTTAACACTTTCTGTCATCTTTAAAAAGAAGCACTTTAGCTCGCTCTCAGAATGCACTGTAGGTTTTAATTATAATCAGTGTTTGGGAACAACATTGATTCCTCTGAACACAAGGTGAAAATAAGGTGTTATAACTTGCATTTAACACTCTCTTTCTCTCAAAACCTTGTAGCCAATAATTTGAAAGCTCCTCAAAGCCTGCAGACAAACAGTGATAAAGAATAGTAATTATCTGCCCTAATAATGGGCATATTTCTCTTTCCCCACAGCCCCTCCTAGCTTTAGGGAAATAGATCTCCTCACAATGCAGGAAACTGGCTAGCATGTCTTACTCTTTGTCTAAGCAAATAAAACCTACCTGTCCAATAACATCCCATTTTTTGCCTTTCCTCTACAGGTGCTGAGGATGGGGTGATGGCATTTTCCAGATCGGAGACTGAAGACAGACGGCAGTAGCTTGAGGGGCTGTTGGAGCAATTCAGAGCTGGAGCAGGGCAAATAAGCTCTAGGAAATCGAGGAAGATGGCCGGACAATCATGAGTTCCTTTGCCCTCCCCTGATTTTTTTTGTCTTGTCCCGTGGTAGCCTTCCCCAACCCATTGAATTCAGTTTTCCTGTTATCTGACCTTCTGAATGCATTTCACAGCCGTCTGTTCTGTATGCCCTGTTGGTGGGTCAGCAAGGCAGTTTAAATCAAGGACAACTCTAGGAATGCTTTCATGATTGGCTCAAAAAAAAAAAAAAGCGGACTCCGATTGGCTAGCTAAAGGAAAGAAACTTGACCAGTGGAAACACTCCCCTTAATTTTTAATTTTGTATTTTTAAGAATTATTGCTGACATCCTACTTCTAAAAGCCTTCAAGCTCTGGTGCTTATTTAGGTCATGCTTGTGTGTGTTTTTGGAGAGGGGCGTGGCTGTGTGAGACTGGAAATGGACTGTTGCTGCTGTTTGCAAAATGAGTGGCTTTCAGGTGTTTTGCTGACACCAGTGTTTTCCTTGCTAAAATTTGTAGGGGGAGGGAAGAAGGGTAGAGGGAATTAACGTATTTAGTTATTGCTTCACATTTATTGTCAAGGTGGGAGGGGGAAATGTTTTACCATATTTATTACATGCTTGCTTGCCTTTTTTTTTTGAAGAAAAAAAATGGCTTAACTGTTGACTTCCTGTTGGCTGCAGAGTCTACGTGCAGCTGACTCTTCCATGCTGGTCTCCTCTGTTCTTCAGTTCTCCTCAAGAAATTGTTGCTTTGAAGCATGTTTGGTTTTCTCAATTCTGCCCATGCAGGAAGGAGGTGGTTGAAAGCCCTGACACTTCGTTTAGAGTTGTGGCAATGAGCCTCTGCTGCAAATTTGGGCAACTCTATTTGCACCTTGCAGAAGGCCTGTCAGTACTATGGAGGAATTCTGTATTCCCAAATATCTGTGAGTTGCAAAGTGTCAAACTGGGAAGGAGTGCAAACCAATTCTTCTAAGCAGTCTGCACTGTTTGATCTTTAACCTGTTGGCTGCTTCACATGTGGCAGTGCGGTAAGAGCCTGAATCGTGTAACTGGCCTAATGCCTGCACTGACTTAGTGAGATGAAATTGACAAGTTCCTCCAGTTGGGCTTGGTTTTGTGTGCCTGTTGATCTCTTGGGAGGCAGAGCATCTCCAGTGAAAATATCCAAGTGGCTTCAGGTGATACAACCTGTTTGTTGAAAAACGGAGACAATGACATCAATTCATTGCTTACTTTATCTGGCTTGCCAGGAAGCTGCATGTTAAAACCCTGAAGTTCTAGGAGTTGTTTTCTGCCTATATCCAGGAGTCTCCTCCCATGCCATGAATTTTCACAGTACTTCCAAGAAAGCACCTAGGTGAGATGGTACTGATGAAGTATTTGAGGGGGTGGGGAAACATTGAAATAGAAACTTGTGGTTTCACTGTCTTCGCAGGAGAGATCATTATCTGGAGGAACCAGCTTGAGAGCCTGGCTGCGGCAAACTAGAGTTTCCAAGTGCCCTTGGCTATGAGGGTCCAGATGCTATTGCTATCTGTGTGTGTGTGTGTGTGTGTGTGTGTGAGAGAGAGAGAGAGAGAGAGAGAGAGAGAGGAGAGGAGGAGGAAGAGATACCAAGAATAATAGCAAATGATAAGAGATAATATACAGAAAAGAGGAATAAAGGTGATCCCAAATTAATTGGTCTACCTGCAAAGCGCAGGTGTTCCCGCTCTGGAAATGATACTTGAGTTTTGATTTGCAACTTCATAAAAGTTCCCAATGTGAAAAGCCTCAGTTTCTTGGGGCTGATGATGACACCTGTTCAAATAAAACCAGCAATAAATGCAGTTCACCCTTGCTGTTCAGGTTTTATTCCCCATGACCGGTTTTTAAATGTGTCAGAAAGGACAGCTCTTCATCCCAATTATGAGGGTTTTCTTTTCTTTTCTTTTGTTGTTTTGTTTTGTAGCATGACAAAATGTGCAGCTTTTGCTCCATTGAAGAGGAGCCTGATGCTTTCCCTCACCCAAACACTTCCATGATAGGGAAGTCGTAATTTCTCTAAATCTCAAAATGAAGTGTGTCGTCACTGAGAGATTCCCCTGCACCAAGCTGTCACTTCTTTTGCAGCAGCTGATGGATTTGCGGCGGCTGGGTCACCTTTCCCTACCCATCCACCTCTTTGCCATTAGATGAACTTTATTAACTTATTTTTCTCTTTTGTGTTTTACTGCAATGGAGGCTGAACACTCCCCGTTTAACAGAAAGAAGTTCTTGTGAAAACATGTGGTCCATTAAGGCCTCCCTATCCCTGCTGCGACATCGCCTCAACATTTCATTAATCTTTTTTGCCTCCTATAAATCTTCTTTTCCTATGCGCTCCCACATATCTTCCACTTCTTTTTTGTTTTTAAAGAAGAAGCAGAAAGTCTATTCCACCCTGTGCTACTTCTGCACTACATATGTACCTCTGTTGCACAGGAGTGGATTGTTGCCCAATTTGTGGCCGATTCGATGACTAAAACATCCACTGGAAATTCAGTGAACAAGTTCAACTGGTAGCTTGCTGGGTCAACCAGGCAACACTGTCACAGCCTTGTTGCTTGGTTGCGGCCTGTGTTCCATTGATATATGGCATTTCCAAGCTGTTGCATCTTTCTAACGAAGCAAACTTACATGTTTATGTGGTTTTTAAACTTTTGGAGGGCTAAAAATGTAACTTGAAAGGGTTGAGGGAAATACACTTTGTAAGAGCTGTTCCTTGCTTCTTGTTTTATATTTATCCAACTGAACATGAAAAAGTCCTTGTATTGCTCTTGGGTGAGATTTCAAGTTCAAGATCCAAGTTTTAAAAGCACACGCCCTCCTTATGCCAAGAGGGAGGGAAATAGTTTGGGGTTGCAGCCCTGCACACAGTTACCTGGCTGAAAGCCCCATCAAACTCAATGGGACTGTTGGAGTAGGCATCCATGGGTTTCTGCTGTTAATGCAGCCATCTCACTCTGCCTTCAAACGCAGCCCTAGTTTACACAATCATGTGCTTTCTTCCCCACAAGGCAACTCACAGCTTCAAAACAATAGCAGTATAAGCAAAATAGACAGTCTGTAAAGCAAAGTTAAGGAACCTGTCACCTTCCATTTGTTCTTGGACTCCCAGTCTCCCATCAGCCCCCTCCAGCAAGACCCAGTGGTCAGAGATGATGGGAGTTGAAGTCCAGCAGTATGCAGAGGGCTGCAGGTTCCCCACTGCTGTTTTAGGGCTTTAAAGATTATAACCAGCACTTTTAGCTTGGTTTGTCAATACGCATGGAAAAGGATTGATAGGCAAGAACATGGTTTAGTATCTGAGTCACATGATCTGAAAAATGGGCCTATTCCATGAGGAGCAGCTGACCAAAGGACTGTTGTGTCTGATGTACTTGGACAGCTCTGCCTCTGGCATCATAAACACAGTGGCTTTACAAAGGCAGGTCATCATGTGATAACTGCCCTCAACCGCTCAGCTTTTCTCTGCCTCACTAAATGTGCCCCCTCTACTTGCCAGCTGCTGCCTGAAATGGACATGGGTGTTTCCAGTCACTTTTTCTTGGGTGCTCTTTAGAGTTAGATGCCTATCATTACATCAGCAAGTAGGCCATTTCTGTAAAGCGGGGCGGGGAGGAATTGAGAGTCCAGAAATGGGATCTGCTTGTACAGCAGGATGCAAGGCTACTTTTACAATCAGAGGTGGCCTTTCGATAGAATTGACACCCAGCAGGAGATGTGGCGTCAGAGGGAACGGTTCATTGTGGCATGAAATGGAAGCCAGGTTTTTCCCCCCCTGCTGACTACGCAGTGTAATCTATTTTCGGTGTTACACAGTGACCACCTAATTGAAGGTACTGAGAAAAATACCCTTGCATATGATGAAATAGATAACCAGAGTTTAAGCTCGTTTTGTGTGCTCTGCCCGCCAACTTCCATCTCCAGCTCTGTTGTCTTAGGGCCTTTTCAACAGTAGTGATAGGCCCAGCTGCCCCCTTTGCCTACATTCCAAAAGGAAAAATGTGTTTCATTTGTTCAGTTTTTTGCCTTCTCTTCCAAAGGAGCCCCAGGCCAGAAACCACCGGATAACAAATTATATAATTAAAACTCATAATCACAGCTAATAATATTAAGGTTGCCAGGAGTATTCAGTCATCAAATGTCCAGGTAAGGAATAATGTTTTTAATTTACTTCTGAATATTAATGATGGGGGAGAGAGGCTCCTTGCTAGGGAGGGCATTCCAAAATTGTGGCACCGGCACCAAAAAGGCCCCATCAGAGCTCAGCATTGGACTGTAACAAAACAATTCCTAAAACAATATACTGTAATGTGCAATTCTATTTAATCAGCTCTGTAGGTGGCTGAGGGGAGATTTTTCCCTATCTTAAGCACTTCGGATGAGCTATGTGTGTGCATGCTTCATTTTTTACCTGTACAAATCAGAGAATGAGGGCAGTAAGACATAAATCTGTCCAGTGACACCCAGAATGGTAAATGGAGCTATACATCGTTCCTAAATGGACACACCCCAAAATTCAAATTGGATTGGGGAGCAGAAGGGCTATAAATGTAAGGAATACAGAATGAAATGAAGGTGCGCTATGGCCTATTAACGTACAATAATGTAAGTGGAAAATGAAACGACGTGCCATTTTGAACAATGCAAAGAAGAGATTAATGAAACAACCCAGGTGTCTCAAGGAAAGGAGGGGCTACGAAGGACAGCAGAGGGCATTGGCCAGCCTTTCATTGAATCTGGGAGCAGAAACTGACCTCTAGCCCTGCTTAGTTGATACCACCACCTCCCCAGGCCCAGTTTAGAGCACCCCTTCATTGCCAAAGCAGAGAAACCTTCTGGAACAAAGCAGTACCTCTATTGCTTGGAGCCAAATCTGACACTCCAGGTCTGTCTACCTGGCCCTTGAGACTCTCCTGGCCACCCCACCCCCATCACTAACCCTGCTTCATACCCTCCATGAACATTTTTGCCTGGATGGAATATGTCCCTGAGCTCTGATAAAGCTTTTTGCTAATCTGGATGGAGGATAGAGAACAGCGTGTGTAGAAACCTGCCTGCTCTACCAAAAGGTAACATCACTCCACCCACCTTTGCCTCTGGCTCTGTCCACCACTAGCATGCAGCCCCTGGAAGGTGGCTCAGAAGGGAATGTGGCCCTCTGGAAATACCTCCCCACCTCTGCTCTCTAGAACAGTATTTGGTGGTTTCAAAGGAGAGCTTGAGGTCTGTTGCTCCTTTTTTGCTCCTTTAGAATTTTAACATTCTTATATCTTGTTTGAAGCACTAGGAAGTGGGGGAACTTTTTTTTTCCTTTAAAAAATATGCTTTTGTGCTGCAGCTTTTCTATAAGCCGCTTGTGAGTCATGGAGGGAAAAGACTAATTAGACTGGACAGCCTGGTAAGCCTCACCAGCAGAAGCACCCATCTGAAAGGGATTGTGAGCCGAGTGTTGGTCTACAGTCATTCTGAGCTGCTATTTTACCAGATGGGGATCTAGTGGAATTCACCTGTTTTTTCCCCTCTCTGCCCCCTGCTGCCTGACCTTGCTTTGACCTTCCCGAATTCTAAAGCAGATGGTGGAGAGAGACATGATAGAGAGAGGTGTGTACAATATGTGTGTGAAGAAAGCAGATAAGGAGACACTCCCCCCCCCTTTTGTGCCATAAACCAAGAACTGGGCCATTCAAGCTGAATGTCAGAAGTGTCACGGCTGACCAATGAATTGGCTTCTTCACACAGCTCTGCACTTTTGATCCCACCAGATTTATTTCTTATTTCACAAAATGTTTCACTTGATTGTTAAAAACAAAAACAGTTTACAAAACACTGAAATTACCAGTTAAAAATACCAGTTAAAAAGAACTATTGAAAACATGCAGGCATGTTTCATCTTGCTAAAACTAAGATGTTCGTAAAGTTAAAGGTAAAGGGACCCCTGACCGTTAGGTCCAGTCGCGGACGGCTCTGGGGTTGCGGCGCTCATCTCGCTTTATTGGCCGAGGGAGCTGGCGTACAGCAGCCTAGTCATGTGGCCAGCATGACTAAGCCGCTTCTGGCAAACCAGAGCAGCGCACGAAAACACCATTTACCTTCCTGCTGGAGAGGTACCTATTTATCTACTTGCACTTTGACGTGCTTTTGAACTGCTAGGTTGGCAAGAGCAGGGACCAAGCAATGGGAGCTCACCCTATTATTGCTCAATAGAGAGGGAGTTCCAAAGTGTGGATGCCACACTAAAACAGGGTGGTCCAACCTTTCATACCAAATGCGCTGCAAGAGTACTTAGACATGGAACCCGCGGGATGCAAGGCCAAAATCTGGTGCACACACCCTGCAGCTCTTGCACCTGCAGCAAGGTCCTAGAGCCCTCCCACCTCCTTCCCAAAGCTGTGTAAGTGCTAACAAGGTTTTGGGAAGAGACTGTGGAACTCTAGGACCCTGTCGGAGCCCTCAAGCCTCCTTCCCAAGCTTACCTACCTTTGGGAAGGCAGTGCAAGGGCTGCAGGAGAAGCTTGTCAAATGTTGCCAAGGGCTGCCAAAAAAGGGAAGAGAGCTGCATGCGTGTGTTAAACCTCCCTGCACTAAAACGTAAATTTCTTTGTTGTAGTGATGATCTTGGGTGGCTTGAAAAGAAGAATGGGCAAATTAATGGAGGATGGAGCTATAGACAGCTACTTGCTGTGATGGCTATATTCTCCCTCCACTACCTCTGCTGTTGTTGGTCACCTTTGCACTCAGGTCCTGCTTACGGTCTTCCCATTGGGGTCTCTGGTTGTCCATTGTGAGAACAGGATGCTGGACCAAGCGGGCCACTGGCCTGATCCAGCAGGCCTCCTCTTACGTTGTTACAAAAAGAGGGCTTGCCCTTCCTCTTTTTAAAACAAAAAATGCAGTAGCTGTTCATTTCAGGTGAAGAGCAGCAAAGGTGGGTGTGTTACCTTTCAAAATGAGAAGTCCTGATTCCCAGGGTGCTCCCAGACTCATAAGAGTCGGAAAGGACTGCAAGGGTCATCTAGTCCAACCCCCTGCGACACACAATCCTCAACTAAAGCATCCATGACAGGTGGCCATCCAAGCTCTGCTTAAAAACCTCAAATGGTTTTTAATCTGGATTTACTCTTGTTCAATCTGGATTCAGGGATAAGGGCCATAACTTAGTAGTAGAGCATCCACCTTGCATGCAGAAGTTCCTAGGTTCAATCCTCAACAGCATCTCCAGGTAGGACTGGGAGAAACCCCTGCCTGATATCCTGGAGAGCCACTGTCTAGTCAGTGTAGTCTAGACAATGCTTCCTGTGTGTTACTGTGAATCAGGTGATGCCATTGTCAGAAATCCAGGACTTTTTCCAGTAGTTGCCACTTGCAAGCAGGCGACAACAGCTGCAGTGCAGCTGCAGTGACAGTCTCGTCCTCGGCAACCAATGGTACGTGGTCTGCCAGCATGCTGAGTTCATGTGGCTGCTATAATCTTTGCAAGTAGGAACTGCAACAAAATGTTGCAGCGCAGAATACTCTTGTTCACGGAACCAGCCAGCCCTTCCAGGAGACTCCATTCCTTCCAGGATAAATACGTTCCACTACTTCCACCCCATTTTCTCTCAGCAGCCTATGCACACACTGAGCTTGCCCAATTCTCACTTGGCTACTTTTTGCCTTCGTACCCACCTGGTAAAGTTCTTTTGTACTTCTGGAAACTTTGGGGTTTCCTTCAG